CCCCAAAACCCCAAAACCCCAAAACCCCATTAGATTAATATATGTATATGTGAAATGTTTATCTAATTTCCAAATCAAAAATTTAATTGATTGTTTATATTAGCTAATCTAGGAGATTCCTCATTTGATGTAAAAGTACTAAAATATCAGCTTAATCTTTGAGTAAAAGATACTAAGCTCCTTCTGGTATTTATAATTCATTTCAGCTATATTGGATAATAAATAAGTACCTCATATTGTTCACTATCTCTAATGATATTCAAGTTTTATTCATCCCATAACCTTCATTATGTTTTAATTTATGATTTCTTTATTTTCTTGCTTAGGGATTTTACTTTCTTATTTTTGGTTATTTCTTTGAAAGGTGTAATTTATATCTTTAGATCTTTACCGTTAATAAACTTAGAATTCATATCATTCCTGATAATCTATGCTGGTTTTTCTAGATTATTTATTGACTATTTACTCTAATCTACGAGATGAGAATTGATATTTTCAAATTTATCTGGTTTATAAATAGACTCTTGGCTGAATATATCATGAGAATTAGGAACAGAAGTGTTAATGAGATAGGTATATAACCAATATTCATTTTTGCATAGTAATCCAAATCATAATTGTCAGTGAATATAATCATGCAATAGGAAATAATCTGAACAAAAGCTTCATTTGTAATTTCTAAGTTGTTTGATATATTAAGCTTAAATGGCCTTTAATGAATCAAATAAGTGAGCATAAGAATATTTTAGAGGACCTGCAATGTTATTTATAGTCCTTGATTGTCACTTAATAGGACAATAATAAGAGAATAAAGAATTCTCCTGATAATAACAATTGTTGAATAAATAGTGTGCTTTGAACTGATGTTCTCGAATATAGGAGAAAAAGCCTTTAGTGCTTTTCACTTATCAATATTAATCAAATATTTTGAGATTGTATAACTCACGAATGGCATTATTATCATAGCAATGAAAAACTGAATTGAAATAATCCTAGATGCTATTGTAATCAGAGCTGAATTATTCTAAAATATTAATCTAATTTTATTTACCTGGAAATCCTAAATACTTGAGCATATAACTATTTCAATCATAGATTCAATGTAAAATCTAATGTTTAAATCAAAATTAAATACCTTAAATAAAAAGAGAAAAACATTTATTCTTGGATTTTATGAGCAATTTTTTGTAATCTAAATTTTTAATAACCTATAATCCTTACTTATTTTCTTTGATAAACATAACTTTGATAAATAGAATTATCAAGGCTAGAATCAGTGATAGTAAATAGAAATAGATCATTAAACTAACGTTCTGTATTATATTTCTAGAATTATAATTCATTTGTTCAAAATAATCATTGAAAGCATCTTCTAATTCACTTTCTCCGAAAATAAAGTTATTGATTTGATCTGTCTCAAAGAACTAAAAGTTAGAAACATCAATAATAAAGCTGTAAAAAAGAGCAATATTTGAAGGGATATTTATAGACATCAAAGGCATGTGACTTATCATCTGAAAAGCATTGATCATTCCCCATAAAAATTACAAACTCTATGCCCTTTAAGAATTATAAATCTAATTTACAATAAAATGTTAATAAGAAAATTAGAACCGACAATAGCAGAGAGTGTAATTTTTACTGACTCACCTAATTATATTATATTTTCTCTTGTTGCTATAATCTATTTAAATTTTTTCAATTATTACTTTTTTCTATCAATGGAGGGATTCTTATTTTTAGAATATACTCTTTTAATTTATATATTTTTGCATTTTTATCATGATATAGAAAGCTTTGATCAAAATGGATTTCAATAGTATCCCAAGTCTAAATATAATTAAAATAATCATAATATTACTGAATATTTCGAAACATTCATAAAATCTGAGAAGGTCAATTGCATTATCATTATTTAGTTCAATGATTGAGTTACTGCTACATTTTATATCTCAATTAAATCTCTATCTTATTTCAATAAAACTTTAAATGGTTTTAATTTCGATAACTTATAATGAGTATCTTAGCTAAGTAATTTATTGAATCTAACTGTTAATAATCCATGGCTACTAATCTTACTAATTCTAGCTTTAAATTAAATTTTATCATGCTTTTTTTCTTCATTTAAATCCTAGACATATTCTTACTCATCAGAATTATCAATGTTATCTGATACTTAATCTGCTACATTTATTTTTACGTTATACACTAAATCATTCATAACCAAATCTTTATATATAAATCTAAACTATATCACTTTTATGCCGATGACTTCTTTTATTGGAAATATTCTTAATAAGTTACCTATAAGTGTGGTAAATAATCTAAATTTATCACCACTAATTAACACTTTGCAAGAGCTCGGTTAAATATTTTTCAACTCCCTAAACTCATACATAAATGACTAGCCTATTTATAAATTAAAACTAATATCTTTTTGCTATTTATAGTATAATGGAAATATTTCATTAATATCTTCGTAAACTTTCAAATTAAATTAATACTTTTCTTGGATTCTATGACTAATATAATGAGAATTAAAATCAAATTTTACTGTGATCTAATAAACTCCTTTAGCTTTAATATCATTAGTACTGATTAAAAATTTCAAATTGTCTTGTGTTCTAATAAAATCAACCTATGGCTGTGGAGAAATAATCGATTGATAATTAAAATCTTTATAGCATTCTTGCTTTGGTTCTAAGTATGGTGTAGGAACTTATATTATAAGTTCTTGGGAATCTAATAAGTAATACTGAGTTGCTATATAATTTTCACTTCTATCCTTGTCAAAATAATAATCATCAAGGCAGTATCTTATCTATATTTGCTTGCTGTATGTCTCTAATGGCCATAAAAAGCTTTTTGAATCTTATATACCATAAGTACCTTTAATTATATGTTTACCCCAATGATTAAGGTTCAAATTATTAAGCTGTATTTTATATTGCAAAATGCTTGTTGTTGTGTCTGTCAATTCTGGCAAAAATGTGTCTAATTCATAGGAGTTTTCTGTAAGCTATTAAGTTGTAAACTTGAGGTAAAATCTAGTCCCTTAATTGTGATCAGAGCATGAGTCATTTAAACGAAAATTAAGTTCAGTCACTCTACAGCTGAGTCCCACATAGCAGATGTCATCGAATTCATAAATTATCTTTTTAACTTGAAGCATTCGAATGTTATATAAAGAGTTTTCCCCTAACTCAAAAGATGGGCTAAGAAATAGCTAGTTCATCAAATTGGTGCGATTCATAAATTTATCCCTAACAAAATTAACAGCAGTGCCCATATTTTAGATCTAAGCATTAATGGTAAATACAGCACTAGTAACTATTTCGTAAATATCAACATCTTCACTCCTAGATGCTATTAACAATTAATCGTAGTAATCTGTAGTTCTAAAGATCATACCCCTATTTTTGTTTGAATCAATAACTTTATACGAGGATAAAAACCCTTTTAGCTCTGGAAGAAATCCTATTTAAGTATTCACATATTAGCTTTAATTAGTAAAAAGCAAGATCTTAAATGTATTTTAATCTTGTGCCTCATAAATATTTTGTTTAAACCAAATACCAATCAATTTTTACTAAGTCTCAGTTGGATTGAAGTATGAGTAATACATAATTATACTGTCTATTGCAATCACTTTAACTCCTATGCATTATAATTAAGTTGGAAGGCCTTGGAAGTCTCGTATTAGTATCCTTGGTTCATTTTTTTCTATACTGTATGAAACTAATCCCATTATAGATATACCTGATTGATTACTGATTAAACAGCCATAGTATACTTGATCTAAATAATTATCTACAAGAGCAATACTGAGCTATAAGTTTTTAACACTGTTTTCTTTTATAGTATAATAACTAAACTACTTAACCTAGTCACTATCATAGTTTATATAATTGAAGAATAAACCATAGTATGCTTCTGTTACTGATAAACTGTTGTATTCTCCAAACAAATTCAATTAATTATTCGCATACAGCATTGCAGTAAATTTTGAGTATGCAGAAGCCAATATGTAATAACTATTTACTAAATCTTATGAGAAATCTAAAATTAGTAGTTCACTTAGATGATTATCGAATTTAGTACTAGTTAAGATAATCTTGTCATACTAATCTATCTCCAAGATTTAGTTAAACATTTGGCTCTGAAATTTTACTTAAATCGTCATAGCTTTAATTGGATAGCCGTAAATATCAATCTAGAGAACCATATAATATTCATTATTAATTAAAGGATTATTAATTGCATCTAATCCTCTAAATAGAATTATAATGTTATCATCAAGTCTTTAGAAACTTAAGCTCTATGGACTAGTCAGCAACAATGCTGAAGAAAGATATTGGTAGGCATTAATCCACATAAATCTATTAATATTAGAATCGTAACTGTATAAGCCTATCATTTGCTACTTATTGAAGGTACCAGCTATTGCTAAGTAGTTTTTATTTTGATTAATTTCCACTAAATTGACCTATGAAAATGAATCTTCCTCATTACCAATATAGATTGGAGTTCCTTTTTTATTAAAACATAGTGATGAATTAGAAAGACTAAAGTTATTTATTAATAAAATTAGTCTAATAGTTACTTACTATAAATGTAGATTAATACATATTGCAAAGGTCATTAAGTAAAATGCAGACATTCTTTGCAATTTAAAATTAACAAATCGATCACTTTTGCTGATTAATTCATTCATTTTTGTAAAGATTAATTAAAATAATTAGGTTTTTATTAGTTACAAATTATGTGTGTTTTAAAGTTCAATTTAACAAATATTGCAGCTATGGATCAATCATTCATTTGGGGTTTTGGGGTTTTGGGGTTTTGGGG